ATCTGGCCTTCAATTCTATTAGCTGTGGGGCATTTTGCCTGCTACAGTCTCAGAGTAGCCACTTTTTGTTTTTCAAAGGATCTGAAAAATAAGAATATGCTTGTATAGTTTTATAAATGTAATCATCTTAAATTTGGATGAAATTTGTTTATTTCAGATTGTTGCCATTGGACCTGTTGCCTAAGGATGTCAAAGTTAAAACGTATTTGGGGACTCCATGAAAACCTTGTATACCCCATAGTGAGGTGGTTCTGTGTGGTCTGCCAGAAAGGAGATAAGTCTTTATGGTCAAAAGACAAGAGAGATGGTCAGGAGTCTATAAGGGGCAGTGAGAGTTAGTTTAGAACAGAGAGAAAAGGTGGAAAATGCTTAGGTGCTAGGTGCTTAAGTCTTTTCTTGGGTGAGTTTGATATCTTGGCAAACCAGAGAAAATAATACTTTTTGAACTTTGTTTAGAATTTTAGTTTGTATCATTTTCACTGACAGTAGCTCCTGTGGTTGTGACATGGGTAAGTATTATTTGCACCTTAGGCTTGGGGAAGTTAAATAGCGGGATCCCTCAGCCAGTAAGGGGCAGAGCTGAGACTCAAACCAGTGCTTCTGATTTTGTGCCTCATGCTCTCCCAGCTGTGTCGTGTGGGATCTAGTGAGTGTGAATTTCAGACCTGGCAGCAGACAGCTCAGTGTGGTGTTCCCGCAAAAGCACGGGCACCAGAACTGGTTCTGATCCTGGTTCTGCCCCATCCTATTTTATCTCTCTGAGCCTTACTTTCTTTACCATAAGGTTGAGATGATAATAATGCCTACTTTGAAATGTTATAAGGATTGAATGAAAAATGAGTAAATTGCCTGATACATAGGAAGCACTTGGTAGATGGTTGTGCTTTCCTTTGCCACCCTTTCCTTTATCCCCCACATTTAGATACCAAGATGGATTTCCCTTATGGGTTTAAAATATATATATATATATTTGATAGCAGTTAGTAATTAAACTCATTGTGTACTGACTACTGGGAGGAAGCATTCAACTATAAGAAATACCCTTTGCTGGGCCGGGCCCCGTGGCTCACGCCTGTAATCCCAGCACTTTGGGAGGCCGAGGAGGGGGATCACCTGAGGTCAGGAGTTCGAGACCAGCCTGACCAATATGGAGAAACCCCGTCTCTACTAAAAATACAAAATTAGCTGGGCGTGGTGGCACACGCCTGTAATCCCAGCTACTAGGGAGGCCGAGGCAGGAGAATCGCTTGAACCTGGGAGGCAGAGGTTGCAGTGAGCCGAGATCACGCCATTGCACTCCAGCCTGGGCAACAAGAGCAAAACTCTGTCTAAAGAAAATAAAAGAAATACCCTTTGCCGTCAGAGTGAAGGCAAGAATATATGTGAAAAATGTAATGTTTACAGAGCAGGCACAAATGAACCCGAATTAATATGATGCCACCCTAAACAAATGAGTGATGTAGGGACACCTAGTGAAAAGGAGCAAGGTGAGATTCATCAGAGAGACTGCTCAGGAGTTTTGAGTCAGGAAGTACAGAACGCAGATTGGTAACAGAATGAGAGGTGGCAGTGATATGGGAGGGGTGGGAGTGACAAGGGGAAGGACTTACGTGAAAGGAAGCACAAATACAAACAGGAGATTCTTTAAGGGGATGCAACATTTTTATTGTAAGTTGACAATTTATCATTGTACCTATAGGATACACGATGATGTTAAGAATTATGAATACTGTAGAATAATTAAACTAATATAGCTGTCACTTCAAATGCTTATTATTATTATTTTTTTTTTGTGGTGAGAACATTCGAAATTCACTCTCAGCAGTTTTGAAATGTATAATACACTATTATTAGCTATATTCACCATACTGTGCAATAGATCTCAAAAATACTCTCAGACTTCTTCTTCCTGTCTGAGATTTTGTACCCTTTGACCGTCATCTCCTCAGTGGTAACCACCATTGTGCTCTGCTTCTATGAAGAACATTCTTTTACCATTGTAATTTTGGCTCACTATAACTTCCACTTCCCAGGCTCAAGCGATCCTCTCACCTCAGCCTCCCTAGTAGCTAGGACCACAGGTGTGCATCACCATGCCCAGCTAATTTTTAATTTTAAAAATTTAAAAATTTGTATTATTATTATTATTATTATTGAGACCAAGTCTTGCTCTGTCACCCAGGGTGGAGTGCAGTGGCGCAAGCTTGGTGCTCACTGTAACCTTCGCTTCCTGGGTTCAAGCAATTCTCCTGCCTCAGTCACCCGAGTAACTGGGACTACAGGCAAAGGCGCCCGCCATCATGCCCAGCTAATTTTTGTATTTTTTGTAGAGCTGAGGTTTCACCATATTGGCCAGGCTGGTCTCAAACTCCTGACCTCAAGTGATCTGCCTTCATTGGCCTCCCAAAGTGCTGGGATTACAGGTGTAAGCCACTGGACTGGGCCTATTTTAAATTTTTATTTATTTTTATTTTGTAAAAAATTTCTGAGTGAGGTCCTTCTTTTATTTTCTATTTCATCTTAAAAAAAAAAAAAATTAGAGGTGGGGGTCTCATTGTGTTGACCAGGCTGGTCTTAAACTCCTGGCCTCAAGTGATTCTCCCATTTTGGCCTCCCAAAGTGCTAGGATTACAGGTGTGAGCCACCATGCCTGGTCTAATTTTTTTTTCTTTTTTTGTTTTTTGAGACAGTCTGCTCTGTCACCCAGGCTGGAGTCCAGTGGCACAATCTCAGCGCACTACAACCTCCGCCTCCTGGGTTCAAGCAATTCTTGTACCTCAGCCTCCTGAGAAGCACGTGTCACCACGCCTGGCTAACTTTTGCATTTTTATTTATTTATATTTTTGAGACAGAGTTTCACTCTGTCGCCTGGGCTGGAGTACAGTGGCATGATCTCGGCTCACTGCAACCTCCGCCTCCCGGGTTCAAGCGATTCTCCTGCCTCAGCCTCCCGAGTAGCTGGGATTACAGGCATGTGCCACCACACCCAGCTAATCTTTTGTATTTTTAGTAGAGACGGGGTTTCACTGTGTTGTTTGGGCTGGTCTCAAACTCCTGGGCTCAAGCAATCCTCCCGCCTTGGCCTCCCAAAGTGCTGGGATTACAGGCGCGAGCCACCGTGCCACACTGTCATATGGTAAATTCTATTGTTAATTTTTTAAAATTTTTATTATTTTTATGTAGTATTTGAGACAAGTTCTCACTCTGTCGCCCAGGGTAGAATGCAGTGACATGATCACGGCTCGCTGCAGCCTTGACCTCCTAGGCTCAGGTGACCCACCTCAGCCTCCTGAGTAGCTGGGACTACAGGAGTGTACCACCACGCCTGACTAAATTTATATTCTTAGTTTTCTTAAGGCACCTCCATACAGTTTTCCTTAATGGTAGTACTAATTGAGGGGATGTTTGAACCATACTTCGTGCTCTTATCTTATACTGCCCTTTATTTTTATTTTATTTTGTTTTTTGAGGCAGTCTTGCTCTGTCACCCAGACTGGATTGCAAGATCTTGGCTCATTGTAACCTCTGCTTCCCTGGTTCAAGCATTTCTCCTGCCTCAGCCTCCCGAGTAGCTGGGATTACAGGCGCCCACCACCTAATTTTTGCCCAGCTAATTTTTGTATTTTTAGTAGAGACAGGGTTTCACCATGTTGGCCAGGGTGGTCTCAAACTTCTGACCTCAGGTGATCCACCTGTCTTGGCCTCTCAAGGTGCTGAGTTACAGGTGTGAGCCACTGTGCCCGGCCTTGTACTGCCTTTTATTACAGTGATTTGGGTACCTATTATTCTTACTGGATTGTAAATTCTTTGAGGGCAGGTACTTTTTTCATATCATGGCACACACAGGGAATCTTTGAAGCACACTGAGGGAAATGGTCCAGACTGAGACTAGTGGTCTAGGACTCTAGCTGGCCAAACCCTGCCTGGGACACTGGTTAGGAAATGCTGTGTACAGTACTTAGCACAGTGTCTTGAATATAATAGGTAATTATGATTGAAAGATCCTTGGAACAGGTAAATTCAAAAAGGAACTTGTGAGATATGAGAGCGAGTATAGAACAGCAGAGGATTTGAGTTCTCACAGAATCTTGGAGATGAATGGGATCTGAAATTCTTGCCTAATCACTTTTTTATTTACAGATATCCAAACCAAGGCCCTGGGAACAAATGGAAAGCTTTAAGTTTCATGGCTGGGGGAATAATTTTTTAAAATAAAAAGGTTAAAGCTTGCTATTCGTATGCCTTGGGGTTCTCCTTGACTTGAAGATGCCAAGGAACTGAGATTGAGCTAAAAGTTTAGCTATTTTTCAGCATGAGAGCTTGTCTTAGAAACAATCCTGATGAGTCAGAAGGGTAACACAGATGACCTTCTGTCTTGCCCCAGATCCTTACGATCATCATTTGCCTGCTTTCTTCCTGGGCATGAACAACTGTGTCAGACAATAGATCATACTTGGAGAGGGAATGGATTTCTCCAATGGCTTTGACCTTTAATGCCTCATAGAGGAGTAGTTAACACACCACTCAATCCCACTGGAGTTCCCCAGCTTTGTGGTTATGTAGTCTATATAAGTGGTTTTAAAAGTGAAGCTGAGATTGGGTGAAATTGTAGGCCAGTTCCCATTCATCTTCTAGTGGACAGAATTATAGGAAGAAGAATGGATATAGCTTTTCCTTTCCACCAAGGACCAAATGGGAGGAGATAGTCTTAATTTAACAGGAAAGAAATTGATGCCAAAAAGGCTGTGCAACAGGTCTGCGAGGGCAGGGGAATTGAGTAATCAAGGGAGGCCAAGGCGTACCCCGATTTCGCTGAAGCTGTTTGAGATCAGGAAGGGAGCTGTGTTGTTTGACTGGGCCTGGGGTGAGTGTACCTCTGACAGAGGTGGGGCGCAGACAAGATGGCCTCTGTTGTCCAACCCTTCCTATGTGCTTTATTTAATGTGTTTCCTTTACTGTCCTGAAACAGTGAGGCCTTACTTCATTTCTTTTTCTCTTAGTCAGATTCTGAGGAAGATGAACCCACAAAGAAGAAAACTATCCTTCAGGTAAGCATTGTGACATAAACCATTTTTTTTTCTCTTCGTGTATTATTTTCTCAAAGACAGAACTTACAGTACCCAGCAGTTTTCAACTTAGGTTTAGAGCAAACACAGATATTTGAGGACTATTTAGGTTTGGCTTTGTTTTTCTTTATAACTTCAGACCTTGTGCATCTATACCCTGTCCACTCTGTTCCTGGCTTTAACATGCTGATATTACCTTTCCTGGAAGACAGGCAGTGGTAGGGAGATGAATTGTAACTCAATTCAGTTCATTACATATAGTGTAAAAGGATTATTTAGGGAGGGTAGAATAAGTGGATTAGTCAAAATGATGTTAAAATTGTCTGTCTTCTCCCTATCTTATTTTTAACCTAGAAAATAAGCATTTAAATAGCACTTACTGTGTACTAGGCACTGTTCTAAGTGCTTTACTAGCATTTAATTGATTTCATCCTCATGATAGTGCCTAAGTCATAGTATTATCATCCGTGTTTTACATATGAGGAAACGAGGAATTTGCCTAAGATCAGACAACTAGTATGGGCAGAGCTGGGATTCAGACTCAGGCAATCTGACAATTTTTTTTTTTTTTTTTGAGACGGAGTTTCTCTCTTGTTGCCCAGGCTGGAGTGCAATGGCGTGATCTCAGCTCACCATATCCTCCTCCTCCTAGTTCAAGTGATTCTCCTGCCTCAGCCTCCTGAGTAGCTGGGTTTACAGGCATGAGCCACCACACCTGGCTAATTTTGCATTTTTAGTAGAGCCGGGGTTTCTCCATGTTGGTCAGGCTGGTCTCAAACTCCCGACCTCAGGTGATCTGCCCACCTCGGCCTCCCCAAAGCGTTGGGATTACAGGCGTGAGCCACCGCGCCTGACCAGTATTGAGTCCAAGCTCTTAACTGCTGCACTTAGCTCCTTGTAATTGAAACCAGAAGTCCTCAACAAGACAGTGCTAGTAGATGATTTCCCTGCTGTTTGCTTCTGTTTCCCCTCATCTCAGTACCATTATCCTGGCCCCCAGGAGTTTCTTCCCATTCCTTCCACACTTGGTGATTTATATATTCTAACCTGATGTTGATCGTATAAAGTGGCTGTCTTGCCTGGCACAGTGGCTCATACCTGTAATCCCAACACTGGGAGGTCCAGGCAGGCAGATCACCTGAGGTCAGGAGTTTGAGACCAGCCTGACCAACATGGTCTATACTAAAAATACAAAAATTAGCCAGGTGTGGTGGCGGGTGCTTGTTGTCCCAGCTACTTGGGAGGTTGAGGCAGGAGAATCGCTTGAACCCGGGAGATGGAAGTTGCAGTGAGCTGAGATTGTGCCACTGCACTTCAGCCTGGGCAACAGAGCAAGACTCTGTCAAAAATAAATAAATAAATAAGTAAATAAATAATAAAATAAAATAAAATAAATAAAATAGTGGCTGTCTTGTGATTCAAGTATATAGTACGAAGCTGCCCCTTCTCCTGACTCGGTTAAATGTTGCTTCCACCTCTGAGCGGTCTTAGAAGGACGTAGTTGTGTGGAAGTTAGAAAGATAACTGGCGAGGCTGGTGTTTGCATTTATAGTGGATGAAAAAGGAGTCATGGACGACGCTAGCATGCTGAGACTGAGCAAAGGCAGTCCTGTTACCAGGATAGCTTCCTGGAGGAGGTGGACTGGCTCAGAAGGCGCCCCCACTGTAAGACTAAAGACTGTAAAGAACAGTCTTCCAGGTGGTAGGAAGAAATGAGTAGACAGGAATTGTGAGCTCTTTTTTTTTTTTTTTTTTTTTGAGACGGAGTCTCGCTCTGTCGCCCAGGCTGGAGTGCAGTGGCCGGATCTCAGCTCACTTCAAGCTCCGCCTCCCGGGTCCACGCCATTCTCCTGCCTCAGCCTCCCGAGTAGCTGGGACTACAGGCGCCCGCCACCTCGCCCGGCTAAGTTTTTTTTGTATTTTTTAGTAGAGACGGGGTTTCACCGGGTTAGCCAGGATGGTCTCAATCTCCTGACCTCGTGATCCTCCCGTCTCGGCCTCCCAAAGTGCTGGGATTACAGGCTTGAGCCACCGCGCCCGGCAGAATTGTGAGCTCTTAAGGCAGAGTGGGGACCTAGGATTGCAAAGTGTTGTAGCCATGACCCCAGATATCTGATAAGTCAGACACTTCAAAGGTAGCCTGAGGGTGTGCTCCGCCCCATACCTCAGTCTGGTTTCTATGAACTGGAGCCCCTGGGCGCCGCCAGGCTGGACTAACCCAAATTTGTGAACACACACACAGCAAGAAGAGCCCACTCTCCAGATGAGCAGTTGTGTGTGGCTTGACTCAAATGTCTTATTCACTCTGGGCATTTCTTGGCTGAGAAGGCTGGAGTACGCAGGTACTCTAAGACAGTGACACAGTGACCGTATCCATTCTGTTTTTCCAATTGTCATTTCCCTCAGCTCTACAGTTAGGCCAAGCTGGCCTTTTAGCGTAGAGAAAGCAGAATCAGAGATTATTTTGGGTAATAGGAACTCTGAATGGGCTGGGCCAATTAGCTTACAGATCAAAAGTTAAATGCTTGACTCTGGCATTAACAAGCTAATATGCCACATCTATAGGGCCTTCCTTGGGTAGGGTAGGGGACTTTCTTCAGATTAAAAAAATGCAGCATATATATATACTCATTTCTGGCTGACAAAACTACCTCTGTATGTATGATGGCACTAAACATGCTAAAATTACATATTTTTGTAAAAAGCAGTAATGTCTTAGATTAGGGAAATTTGCAAGCTGAGTAAGTCTGAAAAGAACTGAAGATGATCTTACAAAAACCCTTTCAGTCAGCTAATGTAGGATTCTATGGTCGTAACTAAAAAATACCCTTAGGCCAGGCGCTGTGGCTCATGCCTGTAATCCCAGCACTTTGGAAGGCCGAGGGGATGGATCACAGGTCAGGTGTTCAAGACCAGCTTGGCCAAGATGGTAAAACCCCGTCTCTACTAAAAATACAAAAATTAGCCAGGCATGCATGGTGGTGGGCCCCTGTAATCCCAGCTACTCGGGAGGCTGAGGCAGAGAATTGCTTGAACCTGGGAGGTGGAGGTTGCAGTAAGCCGAGATCATGTCACTGCACACCAGCCTGGGTGACAGAGCAAGACTCCGACTAAAAAAAAAAAAAAAAAAAAAAAAATACCTTTAGCACTTAAGTCCTGAGGGAGCTGCTCCATCCACACTGAGGCTTCAGGTTCCTATCTAAGGGGGGAAAGAAAAGAGAAAGGAAATTCTGTTTCCTGTGCTCTGGGGATGGTGACAAGGAGAGCAATTTAAAGGGTTGGAAAAAGCTGTGTGAGGCACCTTGCAGTCTCTGGACTCACTGCTTCCTTGTTGAGCGTGCTGGGCCTCCAGTCTTTCCTAGGCACCATTAGCACTGCCGAGGGGTCTCGCTCAGGGTTAACTTTCTCCCTTGATTAGGCAAAGGGACTATTATTTATTTATTTATTTTATTTTTTGAGACGGAGTCTCACTCTGTCACCCAGGCTGGAGTACAGTGGTATGATATTGGCTCACTGCAACCTCCGCCTCCTGGGTTCAATGCAATTCTCCTGCCTCAGCCTCCCAAGTAGCTGGGATTACAGGGCCCAGCTGGGATTATAGGCACCCGCCACCACGCCCGGCTAATTTTTGTATTTTTAGTAGAGGCGGGCCTTCAGTATGTTGGCCAGGCTGGTCTGGAGCTCCTGACCTCGTGATCTGCCCACCTTAGCCTTCCAGAGTGCTGGGATGACAGGCGTGAGCCACTGCGTCTGGCCGGGAGGGAACTTCTGGCAGCAGTATGAATGTCTCTTTTGGACAGAACCTGGTTCCTGATTTTGGGTAGTGTTCCGAAGGAAGGCGAGGGCTCTTGTGTTAAGAGGTCCCTTCAGGACATGGAGAGAGATTGAGTGATGAGCTGGAGAGACCTGGGCTTTTTGGGAGGAAGGATGATGTGAGGTTAAGAGCATCATATTTGTTGAAGACACAGAGTTGAGGAAGGCTCGCTCTGTGGAAGAGGGCAGTGGAGCTGGGTTGGGATGGAAGAGAAGAAGAATGATACCTCACCTTGGGAGAAGCAGCCCGCAGAAAGGTCTGAGGTAGCAGGAGTCAAGCCCAGATTGGGTGGTCTGAGTGGATGGAAGTAAGGAGGAAACAAGGGCTGGTAAGACTTTAGGCTAGAGAACTTATCTGTAATTGTTGTTTTTGGTGTTGCTAGTACATAAAATCTCACTTGTCATCTTTCTTTCCTCCTACCCCAAACCTGGGCTCATCAGGGATCCGGCGAGGGGACTGGTTTGTCTGCCTTGCTTCCCCAACCTAAAAACCTGACTGTGAAAGAGACTAACAGGTTGCTCCTGCCCCATGCCTTCTCCCGCAAACCCTCGGATGGCTCCCCTGATACTAAGCCCTCCAGACTGGCTTCTAAGACCAAGACTTCCTCTCTTGCCCCTGTTGTGGGCACCACAACCACCACTCCGTCGCCCTCTGCTATCAAGGCTGCTGCCAAGAGTGCTGCCCTGCAGGTGACAAAGCAGATCACGCAGGAGGAAGACGACAGTGATGAGGAAGTAGCCCCCGAAAACTTTTTCTCCCTCCCTGAAAAGGCCGAGCCACCTGGAGTTGAGCCATACCCTTACCCCATCCCCACTGTCCCTGAAGAGCTGCCTCCAGGCACGGAACCAGAGCCGGCTTTCCAGGATGATGCAGCCAATGCCCCCCTTGAATTCAAGATGGCAGCAGGCTCAAGTGGGGCCCCTTGGATGCCTAAGCCTGGGGATGACTACAGCTACAATCAGTTTTCCACGTATGGCGATGCCAATGCTGCTGGTGCTTATTATCAGGTGGGTAGGAGGCACAGAGGGCAGGCGAGGGAATATTGGAACATGGTGGTCAAGGAGAGCTTTGAGCTAGTGATACAGCCTCTGTGGTGTCACTTTGGCTTAATTTATTAGGCCGCAGAACATACCTGTATTCTGAACCATATTAATCTAAATTGCCCAAGTCTTGAAGTCTGACAGGGTGAACCACATAAATGACACCTTTATTTTGAAAACAATCTATTTATTGTTTATTGATCCATAATATTTGTGCATATTTGTGATTGATATATATATATATATATCTGTTTTTTTCTTCCTAACCTTTATTTTAGGTTCAGAAGGTACATATACAGGTTTGTTACATGGGTAAATTGCATGATACAGCGGTTTGGTGTACAGATTTTTTTTTTTTTTTTTGAGAGAGAATCAGTGTTGCCCAGGCTGGAGTGCAGTGGTGCAATCTTGGCTCAACTGCAACCTCTGCCTCCTGAGTTCAAGTGATTCTCCTGCCTCAGCCTCCCGAGTAGCTGGGACTACAGGTGTGTGCCACCACTACCATGCCCCGCTAATTTTTGTATTTGTATTTTATATTTTTTGAGATGGAGTCTTGTTCTGTTGCCCAGGCTGGAGTGCAGTGGCACGATCTTGACTCACTGCAACCTCTACCTCCCAGGTTCAAGCAACTCTCCCTCTTCAGCCTCCCTAATAGCTGGGACTACAGGCACATTCCACCATGCCTGCTAATTTAATTTTTGTATTTTTAGTAGAGACGGGTTTCACCATTTGACCAGGTTGGTCTCAAACTTCTGGCCTTAAGTGATCTGTCCATTTCAGCCTCCTAAAGTGATAGGATTATAGTGTGAGCCACCACACTTGGCTGTAATAGGTAGTTTTTGATCCTCACCCTCCACACTCAAGTAGGCCCTGGTGTCTATTGTTCCCTTCCTTGTGTCCATGTGTACTCAGTATTTAGTTCCCATTTATAAGTGAAAACGTGGTATTTGGTTTTCTGTTTCTGTGTTAATTTGCTTAATGGCTTCCAGCTCCATCCATGCTGCTGCAAAGGACATGATTTTGTTCTTTTTTTATGGCTGTGTAGTATTCCATGGTATATGTGTACCACATTTTCTTTTTTCAGTCCACTGTTGATGGGCATGTAGGTTGGTTCTGTGTCTTTGCTATTGCGAATAGTGCTGTGATGAAATGTGTGCATGTGTTTTTACAGTAGAATAATTTATATTCCTTTGGTTATATACCCAGTAATGGAGTTGCTGGGTTGAATGGTAGCTCTGTTTTAAGTTCTCTGAGAAATCTCCAAACTGCTTTCCATGGTGGCTGAACTAATTTACATTCCCATCCCCAGTGTATAAGTGTTCTCGTTTTCTCCACAACCTTGCCAGCATGTTATTTTTTTACTTTGCAATAATAGCCATTCTGACTGGTGTGAGATGGTATCTCATTGTAGTTTTGATTTGTATTTCCCTGATAATTAGTGATGTTGAGCATTTAAAGATATAGATATTGGCCATTTCTATTACTTGTTTTGAGAAGTGTCTATTCAGATCCTTTGCCCACTTTTTCATGAAATTATTATTATTTTAATTGTTAAGTTTGAGTTTCTTGTATATTCCACAATATAGTCCCTTGTCAGATGGATAGTTTGTAAATATTTTCTCCCGTTCTACATGTTGTCTCTTCATTCTGTTGTTTCCTTTGCTATGCAGAAGCTTTTTGGTTTAATATAGTGCCATTTGTCGAAGTTTGGTTGTGTGTATGTGTTTTTTTGTTTTGTTTTGTTTTTTCCCCCAAGATGGAATCTCGCTCTGTCGCCTAGGCTGGAGTGCAGTGGTGCAGTCTCGGCTCACTGCATCCTCTGCCTCCCAGGTTCAAGAGATTCTCTTGCCTCAGCCTTGAGTAGCTGGGATTACAGGTGCCTGCCACCACACCCGGCTAATTTTTGTATTTTTATTTATTTATTTATTTAGAGACGGAGTTTCGCTCTTGTTGCCCAGGCTGGAGTGCAATGGCGCGATCTCGGTTCACCACAACCTCCGCCTCCCACGTTCAAGTGATTATCCAGCCTCAGCCTCCCGAGTAGCTTGGATTACAGGCATGCGCCACCACACCTGGCTAATTTTTTGTATTTTTAGTAGAGGCGGGTTTCTCTATGTTGGTCAGGCTGGTCTCGAACTCCTGACCTTAGGTGATCCGCCCACTTCAGCCTCCCAAAGTACTGGGATTACAGGCGAGAGCCACTGCACCTGGGCATTGTTTTTATTTAATTAATTAATTAATTAATTAATTTTTTTCTTGAGACAGGGTCTTGCTCTGTCGCCCAGGCTGGAGTGCAGTGGTGCGATCCCAGCTCACTACAACCTCCGCCTCCTGTGTTCAAGCGATTCTCCTGCCTCAGTCTCCTGGGTAGCTGGGATTACAGGCATGTGCCACCACGCCCGGCTAATTTTTTTTGTATTTTTAGTAGAGACGGGGTTTCACCATGTTGGCCAGGCTGGACCTGAACTCCTGACCTCAAATGATCTGCCCACCTGGGCCTCCCAAAGTGCTGGGATTACAGATGTGAGCTCCCGCACCCTGCCTATTTTTAATTTTTAATTTTTTTACTTTTGAGATGGAGTCTTGCTCTGTCACCCAGGCTGGAGTGCAGTGGTATGATCCCGGCTCACTGCAACCTCCACCTCCCGGGTTCAAGCGATTCTCCTGCCTCAGGCCTCTTGAGTAACTGGGATTATACCCGCCTGCCCCACGCCTGGCTAATTTTTGTATTTTTAGTAGAGACTGGGTTTCACCATGTTGGTCAGGCTGGTCTGGAACTCCTGATCTCAGGTGATCTGCTCGCCTTGGACTCCCAAAGTGATGGGATTACAGGTGTGAGCCACCGTACCCTGCCGACTTTTGGTTTTATTGTCTGTGCTTTTGAGGTTTTAGCTGTAAAATTTTTGCCTAGACCAGTGTCCTGGAGCACTTCCCCTATGTTGAAAACAAAATCTGATTGTGGGAGCTGATGAGAGGTATGAAGGGAAGGTGGAAGAGGACTGGTATCTAATCTTGGAGTTACAAGATAGCTTCCTGAAATGTGGATAATGAGGATGAGGGAATCTATGGCATAGACTTCTAGATAGCAGTTAGTCTAAGAAGAGTTTCTAGAGGTGAGGAGTATTGAGAAAAACAGAAGGGACAGTTGGGGCCAAAGAAGAAAGAATGGAATCTGGAGGGTTGAGTGCAAAATAAGAATAAAGAGAATCCCCTCACCACCCCCCCACCCCCCCAAAAAAAGAAGAATAAAGAGAATCGTGAGCGTGATTTGAGGTTTGAATCTCAAGCTGAGTTTGGGCAAGTTACTTAACCGCCTCTCAGTCTCAGGTTCTTTAGGTTAAAATGGGATATCAGAGCAACTCAAAGCATTGCTAAAATAATTACATTAGTTTAGCATGGTGGTTCCTGGAAAATAGTCAATGTTCAATAAATGCTGATTGTAACTTTTTATTCATGTTGTATTCACCTGTTGTTTGGAAGAGATATTTAGATTTGATCCGTATGGCCTCAGAGAGTAAAAGTATAGAATGCCAGGTTGTAAGTAGGTTTAAGAGATAATTCCTAGCAGTCAGAGCTTCCCAAGATGTAGAGGGCTCCTAGGAGCAGGAGCTGGGGGACGTGGCACCAGTGGTGGAGTTGAACAGAGGCAGCTTGCTGGCCCCATAACTGGGCAGCTTCAGCAAGTTTAAAAACTGCTGGCCTGGGATAGTTGGAAGACTTAAGTCCCTTCAACCACTGTGATTCTCTGAATGGTCAGCATTATTGTTTTCAATCCGGGCATGAGTGAAGAGGGAGGGCTCTGTGGAGAACCTGTTCTGACCAAATACTTTGAAAACAATTGTGTTTCCTAAATCTTTGCTATTAAGCCTTGTTGTTTCATATAGGCTGAGCAGAGATAGTATATCTGCCCTTAAGGTTGTTGTTAGAAGGATGGAGGAAGATAGGCTGGGCCCGGTGGGTCACGCCTGTAATCCCAGCACTTTGGGAGGCCAAGGTGGGTGGATCACCTGAGGTTAGGAGTTCGAGACCAGCCTGACCAATATGATGAAACTCCGTCTTTAGTAAAAATACAAAAATTAGCTGGGCGTGGTGGCAGGCGCCTATAATCCCAGCTACATGGGAGACTGAGACAGGAGAATCACTTGAACCCAGGAGGCGGAGGTTGCAGTGAGCCAAGGTGGCACCATTGCACTCCAGCCTAGGCAACAAGAGCGAAACTCCATCTCAAAAAACAAACAAAAAAAAAGAAGGATGGAGAAAGATAGTGTTTTTAACTCTTTAGCAGGAAAAAAAAGATGCTATTTAAATTGAATAACAAATTAGAATTCTATGTGCAGTTATAAACACCATTGAGATAATCTATGTAAACTAAAGCACTTTAAATACACTAGGGGACTCTGAAATTTAAATGTATCTTATTGTGAATACCATTTTAAAAAAATCCATACTCTAATTGCTCTGGATTTTTATATATTATTTTTATGTAGTGAATATTAAACCTATTTTCATTTAGCTCATCATAAAATGAATATTCTTAGAGGGGCATTTCTTGGCATTTAAGACGAAGTGGAAGAATTAGGAAAAAGTGTAGGCCCTTGGAGGAAACAGTTTATTGGCCCTGTGGCTGCCTGACTTGGCCAAGCAGGGGCCTTGCCCTTGCCTTCACCCTCCTCTTCTTTAGGATCTGCAACAACATCTGGGCCACTCACCTCTAAGGGGAATCATGAGATTCCTGAACTAAAAATCTGGTAAATAAACCTGCTTTGTTCCCAGCTTTGTAAGTTTCATTGTATCCTAATAGTGGTTATTTTAAATCAGAGATCTATAGCCTCCCCACCCCGTTTAGACTGTTTCCCTGTATCCACGGGACCAAACTAGAATGAGGAGCAGGAATGGCATGACATATGCCTTCTTGTCCCTGCTCACATCGTAGCTCATTGGGGTCTTATGAGCAGGAGGAGCAGGGCTGAGGGCATGGTAGAGGTAAGGGGTGAGAGTCGCTCTTAGGAAGTAGCTGAGGGAGTAAGGTATAGACTGAAGCAGGAGAGACAGTTTTTATTTCTTGTTACCCTTTCCTAAAAAATATCCATCTGTCTCGATAGTGTAGATGAGAAAAGCTGTAGGGACTGTTCTTGAGTTATAGGTAGGTCCTTGGGATCTATGCCTTTAACTGGTCTGTTTGAAGAAGCTGTAGTGTGGATATCTCACCACTGCCTCTTTGATGATGATTTTCCATTTCTGGACAGACCTTACCTTCCCCTCTCCAACTGTGCCCTCAGTTGGTGTGTTTTTCTTTCCTGTTTGGCTGCAGGATTATTACAGTGGTGGCTACTATCCTGCACAGGACCCGGCCCTGGTCCCACCCCAGGAAATTGCCCCAGATGCCTCCTTCATCGATGACGAAGCAGTAAGTTAACAAAGCACAAGTGACCATCTTTGACCCCTGGACACCATGTTTCAAATCTGAAGCCAAAGGAAATTAAAAAACACACACACACACACAAGACAAAACTGTATCAGGATTAGGTTGGCAACATGTAACGGAGAAACTCTAATTAGTAGTGGCTTATATAAAGCAAGTTAGTTTTTTTCTTCATGGAAGAAGGATACAGGGGTCCTTTGGAAGCTCCACAGAGTCAGGGATCTAGTCTCTTTTTTTTGGGTAGAGACGGGGTCTTGCTTGTTGCCCAGGCTGCACTTGAACTCCTGGGCTCAAGCAATCCTTCTGCCTTGGTATCCCAAAGTGGTGGGATTACAGGTGTGATTTACCATGCCTGGCCTCAGTCTCTTTCTGATCATTGCTTTGCCATCCCTAGGCTGTGGCCTTTATTCTTACGGTCCATGATAGCAGTTAAAGCTACAGCCATCACACTGGCATTGAAGCTGCAGCGGGGTAGAGAAAGAAAGAGGAGGAACACTTCACCTCCCTTTCTAGGAGACTTCCTGAAAGTTCCTAAGAGCACGTCCATTTTGATCTCACTGACTAGAATCTGCTCAAGTGACCATAGCTAGTTGTTTGGTTTTTTTTGTTTTCTGTTTGTTTGTTTTGAGCAGAGTCTTGCTCTGTCGCCCAGGCTCGAGTACGGTGGCACGATCTCAGCTCACTGCAACCTCTGCCTCCCAGGCTCAAGCGATTCTTGTGCCTCAGCCTCCTGAGTAGGAATAGCTGGGATTACAGGCATGTGCCACCATGCCCAACTAATTTTTGTATTTTTAGTAAAGATGGGGTTTCACCACATTGGCTCAGGCTAGTCTCAAACTCCTGGCCTCAAGTGATCAGCCCATCTTGGCCTTCCAAAGTGCTGGGATTACAGGCGTGAGCCATCGCATCTAGCCGGCCATATCTAGTTCTAAGGGGGTCTAGGAAATGTAGTGTTTTATTAGTTGTGTGGTAATATGCCTAACAAAAATTTTGGATTCTTTCACACTAAAGAAGAGGAGAATGGATCTGGGGAGGCACCAAGAAGCTATGTTAAATAACCCTTGTGTTTCACATAATGGTCTCTCCCTGCTGCTAGCTTTCCCAAGCTTCAGCAAAAGGAAGGGTAAAAGCACAATGTCCTGTGACTTTCAGGCCGTTATTCGGGATATAAAGTACTGTTCTATCTTATCTGCAGGGAAGTCACAGCCTATTAGGAGGGATCTGCAGAAATAGGGGGTGCTACCTTTCCATGGAGGTTCTTATAAAAAATAATTCTTCTCTGCTTACCTTTTCCCAGAAAGGTGTCCATCCCTTTGCATACTTCTGCCTGTGCTTGATACTGTTCATCCACTTCCCTATGGATCTCCTTCTTGGCAGGTTTGATAGTTGGTTTCTTTGGGAACCAACTAAGCCTAGGAGACAGCTGAGAACCCACTTAGTGGCAAAAGTCAGTTTCTTATAGGTGGAGTGAGTATAGAAGGCCTCACTAATGTTGAGATCAGGACCTGGGTCTCACTGAAGCTTCTGAGTTTTAAAATTCTATTCTCCTTCACCCACATTCCCTTTGAGGCACACCTCTGGATGACTTGTGTGGTTTGCATTTTGTTTTTTTGGGAAGAGGAAAGAGTAGCAGTCTCCTAGAAAGTTTACTGGGCTTTCTTTTTTCTTTACCCTTAAAAACTTTTGAAGTTAAAGCTAAGCCTCTGTGTGTGTGTGTGAGGCTCCTTTTCTATGCAGCCCCACATTCTTTGTCTCTGATGTCCAGTTTGGTGTGGGGTCTGTTGATTCGGTGATACCGAACAATTAGAAGGAACAGAGATGGACAAAGAACTGATTTTTAAAGGAGAAATCCTGGAGTTCTGTGTTTTTTTGGGGCTTGGAATTTTATTTTTTTAGAGGCAAAGTCTTGCTGTGTTTCCCAGGGACCACAGGCACGCACCACCACACCCGGCTAATTTTTAAATTTTTTTATAGAGATGGGGCCTCACTTTATTGCCCAGGCTTGTCTCAAACTCCTGGGCTCAAGTGATCCTCCCACCCTTGCCTCCCAAAATGCTGGTATTATAGGTGTGAGTCACCCTGCCTGGCCTGCTCTGAATTCTTTTTTTTTTTTTTTTGAGTCTGAAAACTCTTTTGAGACAGAGTTTCACTCTTCTTGCCCAGGCCAGAGTGCAATGGTGCAATCTCGGCTCTCCGCAACCTCTGCCTCCCTGGTTCAAGCAATTCTCCTGACTCAGCCTCCCAAGTAGCTGGGATTACAAGTATGCACCACCACGCCTAGTTGATTTTATATTTTTAGTAGAGACGAGGTTTCTCCATGTTGGTCAGGCTGGTATTAAACTCCCGACCTCAGGTGATCTGCCTGCCTCGGCCTCCCAAACAAAGTGCTGGGATTACAGTTGTGAGCCACCGTTCCCGGCCTGCTCTGAATTCTTTTTTTTTTTTTTTTTTGAGACAGAGTCTCGCTCTGTCGCCCAGGCTGGAGTGCAGTGGCCGGATCTCAGCTCACTGCAAGCTCCGCCTCCCGGGTTTATGCCATTCTCCTGCCTCAGCCTCCCCAGTAGCTGGGACTACAGGCGCCCGCCACCTCGCCCGGCTAGTTTTTTTGTATTTTTTAGTAGAGACGGGGTTTCACCTGGTTAGCCAGGATGTTCTTGATCTCCTGATCTTGTGATCCGCCCGTCTCGGCCTCCCAAAGTGCTGGAATTACAGGCTTGAGCCACGGCGCCCGCCCTGAATTCTTAATTTGAAAATTGTATGCAGTCCTTTTAGGCAGATATTAAAAATAAAATTGATTCAGGGGTACATGTGCCAGTTTGTTACATGGATATATTGCATAGTGGTAGGCAGATACTGTTTGAGTACAAATTCATACCACTGGTTCTCTGTTGTCATTCATGTTTGGAGATACCTCTTAGCTTCCCTTTTCCTGGGTTCAAGAGACGTTCTGAGTACAAGTAGCCTTTCATCTGGCATCAAGGGAATTTGGTAGGTGGCAGGGTAAAAGGACGTAGAGAAGAACTGAGGGTGCCTTGGGATTGGTGAGTCACAAAATCATTCCATAAACTCTGGCTCTTTAGTGACATCTGCCGACCCCCTTGCCCAGATTCCTGACTCCTGCATTTTTTTCTTTTCTAGTTTAAGCGGCTGCAGGGCAAGAGAAACCGAGGGAGAGAAGAAATCAACTTTGTGGAGATTAAAGGTGATGACCAGCTCAGTGGGGCCCAGCAATGGATGACTAAGTCATTGACAGAAGAGAAAACCATGAAGTCATTCAGCAAAGTAAGTGGGAACGGTCTATTGAGTGGTCAACTTGGGAGGCTGCAAAGCAAAATCTTGTCTTACTCCCCGTCTAGACCCCACACCCCATTGTTATTGTCACAGCACCTTTAGTAAACACATTTTGCCTATGGTACTTGAGTATGCAGCAAACCTCACAGATACAGCAGCTCCTTCCCTCTAGAACTTTGCGGGAGTTTAACAGCTCTCCAGCTGGATGGGAGGTCTGGTTGCTGAGACTGAGTAGTTGGAGAGGACTCCAGCCTGTGGCTGTGGCTCCTTCCCAGGCTGCACAGAATCCACAGCTACTCTACTCTTTCCCTACAGTCAGATCCTTCTTTCCTTTTCTTGATTTAAAGTTTTTTGCTTTTTTTTGTTTTAATTTTTATTCTTTTAAAATACTGTCTTCTTCATTTCCTTCCCTCCCTTCTTCCTTTTCTCCTTTCTTCGTTCCAATTGTTTTCATTTTTTGGTGGTGGTTTTTTTTGGTTTTGTTTTGTTTTTCAGAGTCTCACTCTGTTGCCCAGTCTGGCATGCACTGGCTCAGTCACAGCTCATTGCAACCTCTGCCTCCCAGGCTCAAGTGATCCTCCCACCTCAGCCTCCTGAGTTGCTGGGACTGCAGGTGCATGCCACCATACCCATCTAATTTTTGTATTTTTTTGTAGAGTTGGGGTTTCACCATATTGTCCAGGCTGGTGTTGAACTCCTGGCCTCAAGTGATCCACCCACCTTGGCCTTGACCTCCCAAAGTGCTGGGATTACAGGCATGAGCCACTATACCCGGCCCCAGTTAGTTCATTGTTTCAAGCTGGGACCTGGCTCAGCACATCTTTGAGGTGTGAGCACAACAGAACCTCAGAAATCCTGGAGTCCCTAGATTCTGAGTGTGCAACTCTTCTGTGTTCTCTTCATTATTGATTGTAGCCAGCTGTAGTCTTTCCAGTGCCTTTATTCATCACATTTCCCGCACTATACTCCTGCCTTTTCTGTCCTAGTTGTCTTTAGTCAGTATGATGAACATTTCTTCACCTAGTAGCTGAGAACAGCAAATGTGGACATTTATGAGCCTGCCACAGGAGGGAAAATGTGGAAAAGCCCTGGACTTGAGCCCAGCACCAGCAAGGCCAAGGTCGAGGATTTTGTTCCCTTTTCCTCCCCTCATTTGCTTTGCTTTGTTCTATGGCCACAGATGGCCATACAAGCTCCAGCCGTTTGTTTTAACTGAATGCTGGCGGTCATACAGGACAGAGCAAAGGATTGTGGTTAGATCAGCATAGATCCATCACTGTTTACTGGAAAAACCACTTAGGAGAGCATGCTCTACCAACTGTGGGTCAAGAAGCATAGTCACATAGTAATAGCTACTGTTGTTAATGCTCACTGTGGGCCAGGAATGGAGCTGGATGTTTTATGTATGTCATCTTTAACTGTCACATTAAATGACATTAAATAGCAGCAAGCAATTAGTATTTGCTCTTTTCCTATCTCCAAGTTTTCTTGCCACCGTCTCATTATATTGAACTAGATTTTGTCAAAAGGAGAAAAAGATATGGTCCTTGTCCTTGAGGAGTTGACAGCATAGTTGGGAAGAAGAGATTTAAGGACACTTGAGTGTAAATGATTACAGTGCAAATTGATTACATAAGTGCTGAGGAGACTCTAGAGAGGAGTTTTGGGAGTTGGGTGGAGATGATTAGGAAGCTTCTAGTCTGAGACAACTCTGGCAGAGGACAGAAAAACCACAGAATGAAAGCCCAGACCAATATAGACTTTGACAGTAAATCATTTGCATCAAAGTTTGGTTACGGGTTCAGTGCAGTTACGGGCGGAGGCTGGAAGACTGGGGAGAGGTAGAGTGATTGTGAAATTTCTAATTCCAGGGAAACTGCTGGCACTTACTAGAATGGGGAAGGTGGGGGTTTTAGCCAGAGGTGATTGATGGGAGCGAGCTTGATAAGCAGTAGGTGGGAGACAGGCTAGACATCTGGCTTGACTGGGGAGAAGAGGACAGAGATGAAGAGGGTTTGAAGGGAGATGGGCACAGGGATTGTGGGAGGACCTGGCAGGGGGGCAGAAGGTCACCTGTGCCCTGGCCCACAAACTGTTTCAGACTGATTGCAGGCAGTAAAACTGGTCTCAGATGTCCATAGCAGACAGAGCCCCATGCTGGGTGCTAGGGGTAGGGTGGGATTACCAAAGACGCAGAAGACAGTCCTGACCTCAAAGTAGTTCCAGTCTAGTGGGGGATATTAGCAGGCTATTTCAGGCAAGTGTTCTGAGCTGGGTTTTTTGGTATAATGGCTTTAATAAAAATAAAGGCTTTGTAAGTATATAGAGGTAAAAACAGCTCCAACTTTTCTCCCCCAGGATCTGGGCTGCGGAATTGGCTTTTAGTCCCTAATACCACACCATCTGGGCACGTGAGGAACTTCTGCTTTCATCCTGTGGGTTAATGAGTATGTTTTCTTCTCTTGCAGAAGAAAGGTGAGCAGCCAACAGGCCAGCAGCGGCGGAAGCACCAGATCACATATCTTATTCATCAGGTGAGAGAGAGCTGAGGGCTCTGGCTCAGGCAGGATCTCTGTAAATCTGGTAATTTGAAGGCTGAATTTGAGTTAGAAACCCAGATGCCAGGGACCATCTTTCAGCAGGCATCCTCTGCTGTTCTCAGAGTGGCCACTAGGAGGGGATACATCTTTCAGAATTATCCTGCTCTGCTTCAGTCTCAATGCAGATAAGATTCAGGTGCAGGTGCTTAGAATAAAACTCTCTTTTTTTTTTTTTTTTTTTGAGATGGAGTCTTGCTCTGTCGCCCAGGCTGAAGTACAGCGGCGTGGTCTCGGCTCACTTCAAGCTCCGCCTCCCGGGTTCACGCCATTCTCCTGCCTCAGCCTCCCGAGTAGCTGGGACTACAGGTGCCTGCCACCTCGCCCGGCTAGTTTTTTTTTTTTTGTATATTTTAGTAGAGACGGGGTTTCACCATGTTAGCCAGGATGGTCTTGATCTCCTGACCTTGTGATCCACCCGTCTCGGCCTCCCAAAGTGCTGGGATTACAGGCTTGAGCCACCGTGCCTGGCCACCTCCTAGTTTTTCACAGCTTCAGTCATTACTTTAAAATTGTTTGAATTTCTAAGGTACTACACGCTGTTTTCAACACAATTGCAAAACTGCATCTCCAGGCCAGGCAATTGTTTGTTGGTGTTCTGTTTTGACTGATCCAAGCCTTTGAGGCTGTCCTCTCCTACTCTGCCGGTTGGGTGTCTAAAGCAGCAGATTTTCTTCCTTTTAGATGCTAAATTCTAGTTTTCATTTGCCCATTTCCCACTTCAGCTTTTGAATTTTAATTCTACTAGAGGAAGCACCAGGATTCTTGAGTCTTTATTCTGCTTAAACCTTGATAACTCTCCAAAGAAATGATTTTTCTTTGCTTTCTTGGGGTCTTCCCCTTTTACTTCGATAAGTCTTTCAAGGAGTTTGCAGTTTCCCCATAATCATTTTGATAGGAGAAAGATTTTACATTGGGAAGCTCACAGAGGCAAGAGGACAGCGTTTCTCAGAATTCCGGTTTGACCCTCCCCTCCCCTTCTTCCTTGCCACAGGCCAAGGAGCGGGAGCTGGAACTGAAGAACACCTGGTCGGAGAACAAGCTCAGCCGCCGTCAGACCCAAGCCAAATATGGATTCTAGGGCTCTGGAACTGATGGCTCCCAGGATCTCCTGCCAGCCCAGCTGGCCTGGCCCCCAGCTTCACCTCTGGGACCCCAGCAGCTGCTCTAAGCCCAGGATCTCTTTCCCCAAGGACCCAGCCCTCGCCTCTGCGAGAATGAACATATTTGATAGATTTTTCTTAACAAGTTAGAAAATTCAGCTCCTGTCTGTCCTGGAGCTAGCAAAGACTTGTGTGATGCCTCTGAAGGGGCTCTGAGTTCTGGGATGGGAGTTTTGCTCCCTGTCAGGTGTGATGAAATGTTGAACCCTCCCCACCACCACTTTTTTTTTTTTTTTTAAACCAGGGATGTCTGTTGAAATAAAACATTCAGTCTGACAAACATTGCCTGCCCTGTCTCTGGATTTGTGTTTACTTTGTATAAAGCGCCTTCCAAATGATCTTGAGCTGCCTGATTGCTTTGCTATTTTTTCTCTGTATCCACCGTCTATCTGTGTTTGTGGCCATTGAAAACCCTAGAAATGGTATGCACAACTTTATATGAGGTGGGATGATTTTCAGAGAGACCTGTGGTCCCAAATATGTATTGCTTATCTCAGGTACCTCTGGAGACTGGGTGAAGTCAGGAGGTTTTTTCAGTAGCACAAAATAGTTGTCAGACATAAAAATCCTATCCAGCAAGAGGTAAAGTGGCAAAATCCCTGTCCCTAAAGATAATTCAGATTGACACTGGTAGTCCATTGGTCTGGATTGGTTTGGAAGCTTCACATTGAACTTGAGTGCCAGAGATACCCTTGGAGACGTCCAGAGCCCTAGCCTTTGTTGAAGAAAGGAGGTACAGGGTCTATAGACTCCAATTATCTGTAATGCACTGTGATGCTCAGAAGTGACAAGACAGATGGCATAATTCCAAAAACAATGTGCAACTCATACTGCAAACCACCACTGAAAAATATGGCTAAGGGTATCAGGATTCCAGTAGGGCTTAGCTGCTGTGGTTTCCTGCAGGAAAGTAGCGTTGAGGAAACTCCTGCAAGAGAGCCTTGGATGTCAGGTGGAGGAGCTGTTGACCAGAAATAGACGCTTGAGGGTACTGTTGCTGGAAAACACTGGGAAGAATTAGTGTTTGGCAGTCCTGGTGACAGAGAGGGGAGGCTAAGGCCATTGGGGCATTTGAGGTATGTGGTGGAGACCTGGGGATGGGAAGGAAGAGGCAGAAGTTAGAAACCTCACCAAGCTTCTGGTTTTGTGTGCTGGGGTAAGTTGAGGAGTCTGTTTCTCATTAAGCACAGAGAAGGTTTCATCACTTACAGGAAAACCACCCGCTTATCTGAAATCTGACCTACTTCGGGCTGGAGCCAGACAGGGCTCCTGCATCCCACAGGGACACTCAGGCTGTAGTTGTCCAGATCTGTGCAGCCAGTTAAGACTTCAGCAAGGAGCTTCAGCCCTACCATGCTCCCAGTGTTCACAGAGGCACTGGGGGTCAGGGCTGAGATCTGCCCCTCTGGGGTGTCACAGGTGGTGAGGTGTGCTCAGCAGGGCCTAAAATCTTAGGTTCCAATGAATCCAGTGCTTCCTTTCTTATATCCAGTATGCTACAGATGCAGCCCTAACCATATGAGTCGCCACGCTCCTGGGATTCAGTAATTCAACTTTCTCATTTTAGGGGCTGTGTCATGATGTAGCTGGAAGTGCTCTGGGCTGGGAGGCAGAAGATGGTGAGAGGGAGACTCCCTGGTCTTCTGGAAATGGACAGAATTGGGCTAGATATCTATAAGGGTCCTCTTGCCTCCCACTTCCTTCAGTTCACTCAAGAGGCTTAAGCCACATTTTTTTTAAAGCCACTTTTTAGTCCTACCAAAGGTGGCATTTTATTTGGTGGTTGGAATTTCCTGGTTGCTGAGAAATAACTAACAATTAAAAATGGATAGACTTCATTTGGGAGGGCTTCCTGGAGGTGGTAGCCTCAAGTTCTGATGAACAGAAGACAGAGACAGAATGAGGGAGAAATAAGAGTGATAACTTGGTTAAAATTAGCATGGCAGCAACAGCCAAGGGGCAGAAGGAGAAAGGTGTGAAGGCCTTGGTCAGAAATGGATCCAGTTAGCCCTGGAAGATGTTGGTGGGGCGGGGGCAAAGCTGGATGTGCAGTGTCACATTGACCAGGACAGTAGAGCTGGAGAAGCTGAGGTCTGCAAGGATCAGACTTAGAACCCTCACAGAGATGATGTGGTTGTCGTAATGAGGGTGTTTTAGTGCCTCTGCAACACCACTGGCCCCTTCGGAGGGGCCCAGCCACATCTGCACTCTAGCTGGGGTGCTGAGCTCGCTGTCCAAGAAGCCCCAATGTAGGGAGGAGTGGTTAAAGTTCAGTGGGGCCTGGGGGAAGTGGCAAGGATGCTGGAAAACTCTGGGCTGCGTGCTCCCGTCTGCCCCTTTTTACCCCTTTCCCTCTAGGTTCAGCTTTCTTTTTCTTTTTTCTTTTTTTGAGGTGGAGTCTCTCTGTGTCGCCCAGGCTGGAGTGCAGTGGTGCAATCTCGGCTTACTGCAACCTCTGCCTTCCGGGTTCAAGTGATTCTCCTGAGTAGCTGGGATCACAGGCGCATGCCACCACGCTCGGCTAATTTTTTTGTATTTTTAGTAGAGACTGGGTTTCACCATATTGGCCAGGCTGGTCTCGAATTCCTGACCTCAGGTGATCCACCTGCCTCGGCCTCTCAAAAGTGTTGGGATTATACGCATGAGCCACCACGCCCAGCGCACCCGGCCTAAGTTTAGCTTTCTTTCAGGTGAGGACTCAGTGATGACCAGCCCCACCCCTCCCTGAGTGGGTTCATGGGATGTGATGTTAGCTCTTCAGTCCCCCTGAGAAACCCCTGAGCCAGTTACAGATCACCTTACTGAGACTGTGCTGCATTAGTGGAGGGAGCAGATAGGAAGAAAGGGGCAGCTCAGGGGAGGCTGGAGCAGGAAAGAGCCATCAGGGTAAGGCATGGAACTGAAGGGGCAGGTGCTGGAGGACAAAGCTGGACCCTGTAGTGGGAGCCGTGCTCTCTGTTCACAGCAAGGTCTTCCATGTGCTATGACAGGGTGAGAGGTTGCCCTTTCACAGATATAACAGTGGGCTCAGCCAGAGAGGCTCTACCTGGAGGAGGCAGGAGGAGGGATGGAATGACCATGGGAAGACTGTCGGTGAGAAATGCCCTCCCCCTCTTGGCATGTGGAGTCTCGCTCTGCATAATCGCCCCAGTTCACTTTTCCTGTACAAGTTACTCAACTTCTCCCTCCTGAGTTCTCACCGCAGCCCTAGGCCTCAGCTTGGAGGAGTAAAGTCAGCGGGATCGTGCAGGGGTGCCCCTCGTGAAGGGGAGGGAGGTTCCACCACCTTGGTCTTCAGGGCTGGGCCTCCAGCTGTGGCCCTCAGCAGGACTGGGACCTTATCCTTTAGCCTAGGAGGGGCCCCGTGGTATTAAGAGGAACCCTGGGTTGGGATGACAAGATCTGGGCCCTGGGCCTTACTGCCTTTGGCTCCCTGTCACCTCCCCTCTCTAGACCTCAGTTTCCTCTTTAGTTGAGCCAAAAACTCTGTCATTAAGGGTCTCTGAAGTCCCTTCTAGACCCAGCAGTACTGCTTTTCAAAGCCCTTCGCTTGCATGGTCTCATGTGTGTGCAATGAGGCATTATCTCCAGCATAAAGAATGGAGGGAGCAGTGGCACAGAAAAAGGGTTCCCCTGCTGAAGGTTGCACAACTAGTTAGCACAGCGCCACAACAGACCCAGGGCTCTTGATGCCATAGGTTCATCTGAGCTCCACCACCCCTTTGGTGTGTCCACTGCGTGCTCTGTGGAGTCACAGAAGGAAGAAGAGGGTCCCTAGGTCCTGCTCTGCCCCTGGCTTTGCTCCTGCCCCTGTTCTGCCCCAGGCTTTCTCCTCTAGAAACACCAAGTGGGTCACTAGGCATTTCTGGCCCTGTCCCCACACCTGCCCATTCTGTTACACCCCAAAGTCTGGGGAAATGTATTTTCTGACTTTCTGATTTCTGTCTCTTGCTGTACAATAAATACGCCACTCTTTTCTGCTTCCTCCCCTGCCCCAAGGAATCAGCCACGAGGTAACTGACTCCATGCGTCTAATCTGAGACCTTTCTGGCACTTTCAGCCTCCTCTCTGATTTCAGCAAAGTCCTCTGCTCCTCCCTCCCTGCCCCTCTGCCTCTCTCCCCACCTCTCCTCTTGCTCAGGAGGGCATTTAGATCTGAGGTCTAAACAAAGGGAAGGGAAGTGGAACCCCAACTCTGTTGACTCAGCAACCATATTTCTCCTTAAGCCGATTAGCACTGGAGTGGAAAGGAGGGGAATTGGCCAGTCACTGGAGCTGGCACCTGGGCCAGGCTGGGGGTGGTGCGGTGGTGGCAGTGCCCAGGCCTAGGGACTGTGGCTTAAGGAAATGGTCTGGAAGATTCCTGTGCCTCAGGTAGGTACAGGGGCCCTGACCGGTGCTGATTGCCTGGACTAGACTCTTATAGGAATGAATGTGAAAAGAACAGGCTGCACAGATGGGACCACAGGAGTCCCCAGGCCTGGGCAGCTCTGGAGGGGCCGTCTCTGCTCTGAGCCCTGAGGATGATCCAGGGGCAGACACTGCCCTGCCTTAGAAAGCCCCCTGTCTGGCTGGGCATGGTGGCTCATGCCTTTAATCCCAGCATTTTGGGAGGCTGTGACAGGAATATAGCTTGAGGCCAGGGGTTTGAGACCAGCTCTGGCAACATAGTGAGACCCTCTCTCTATAATTTTTATTTATTTATTTATATATTTATTTATTTATTTTTATTTTTCCCCCAAGACGGAGTCTTTCTCTGTCACCCAGGCTGGAGTACAGTGGTGTGATCTTGGCTCACTGCAACCTCTGCCTCCCAGGTTCAAGCAATTCTCCTGCCTCAGCCTCCTGAGTAGCTGGGATGACAGGCATGTGCCATCACGCCTGACTGACTTTTGTATTTTTAGTAGAGATGGATGGGGTTTCACCAAATTAGCCAGGCTGGTCTCAAACTCCTAACCCTCAGGTGATCTGCCCACCTCGGCCTCCCAAAGTGCTGAGATTACAGGCGTGAGCCACCACGCCCAGCCGGGCTTGGTGGTGGGCACCTGTAGTCCCAGCAACTTGGGAGGCTAAGGCAGGAGGATCCCTTGAGCCCAGGAGTTCAAGGCTGCAGTGAGCTATGATCATGCCACTATACTCCAGCCTGGGCGACAGAGCAAGACCCTGTCTTAAAAAAAAAAAAAAAAAAAAAAAAAGGAAGTCCCCAGTCTGAGACAAAAGTAAGGCCCAGGGCATACGCCAGAGCCCCAGAGCTTTGCATGGGAACAGGAGGCTGGCTCTGAAGTGGTTCTGGGCAGAGAAGGGAGAAGCAAGAGGGATATGGGAGAGAATGGGGTCCTGATTGAGGGCCTAAGGCAAAGGGCCTAAGCCCAAGAGGCTAGGAAGATGAGAGGCCTGGAGCCAGTTCCAAGGGGGTTCCTGTCCTCTTAAGGGGCTCACACACACATCTTCCTCCTCTCCAGTTCTGTACTTGGCAGGGGTGTTGCAGAGGAGGTGAAGGGGCTGTCCTTCAACTGCTCAGCTCTCTGCCCCTCTTTCTTTATGCCTCAAGTGGTGCAGCCACCCCTATGTCCCTGCCTGCCTACTCAACCCATCCCAGCCAGAGAAGGAATACTTTGCAGAGGTCTTGTGTCCCTGGCCTTGGTGTCTGTCAATCCTCAAGCCCTTCCACCCTCACTGCAGTGGCAGTTCAACCCCTTGCCTTCCACAGTATGAGAGAGAGAGAGTCAGAGACAGAGACAGAAGGAGCCTGGAGGACTTGAATCCCTGTAGGGGAAGGCAGTTGGTGATGATTTATTAGCCAGACAAGAATCAACAAACAAGTTCTAACATCTGTTCTCACCAAACCATTCCTCAGACAACAGCAGCATTGGACCAGGGCCCAGACTCAAAGGCTCAGAGGGCCAAGGAAATTAGACTCCAGGAGGAGAAACCAGGACAGTGAGAGCCAGCAGGGCCCTCCTCGCACACTTCTTTGCTGTCTTAGATCATCAAGGACTGAGCCATTGGATTCTTGGGATCTCTTAGGAGGGAGCAGGCTCCACATTTTCTTCTCTGACCTCCAGGCTTCTTTGTTGGGGGTCAGGCCGGACCTGTCGGGGGACAGAGTTAAGCCAGGATCCACAGGAGGGGACCCAGCAAGCACCCAGGCCTCCATGCAGTAGAACTCTGGAAAGTGGCCAGACTTCCTGTTTGAGGAACTCTCTGATGTTTCCCATGGACTGGAGTTTGTGGATGTGTGGTAAGGAACAGAGTACTAAACGGGGAATCAGGAAGCCTGGGTTCTAGTCCTTGACTTTGGCCAAGTCACTGTGCCTCTCAGGCTATGTTTTCTTTTCTGCATAGTGAGGGAGTTGAATTTGATCAGTAAGGACAAATGTAATGCTGCTCATCCTCCCGCCCTTACCCATGGCAGACATCACTAATCAATCATGTGATTTTTTCTGCTGAGTTCAGATATAACCTTAACATCCTTTCCAATGCAGCACTCTAGGCAGCCACGACCAATGGATTGGAGTTGGCATGCAAGATGACACCTCTTTGCCATCCTTGCAATTGATGATAGCTGAGGTCCTTTCCAGCTTTGATCAACTATGGTTTATTCCATCCACATTTCCTGAGAAGGGTGCCAGGTGTGTGTGAGGGTCTCTGGACCTTATACTCCAAGTTATCCTCACCAAGCTCAGACTTACCGCCTACTGAGGAGGCCCAAGGGGGAGCCATGCCTGTCCTCTGTCCTGAAGCACCTGTCTAGAAAGATTGTGGGGGAGGGTGTGTCTCCAGGCGGGTGGGGGCTGGTGGGGCAGGGGAGGGCCTTGCCCAATCACAGAGTTCTCAGAATGCAGCTGGGAGCCACCTGTATTCTGCAGAGAGAAGGACAGTTCTAGGTCACACCCTCTACCCTCTGCCTCCTAGGTGAACCTGCAGTCTCAAGACATCTGATCTGAACAGACTTTGGCTTCCAGAGAGGGTGTATTAACTCCTGTCATTCATTAATTCAACAGACATCTCCTGAGCACCTGCTCTGTGCCAGGCACTGGGCTGGGTGCTTTGGAAACAGATGGGTAAGTCCCAGCCCTCCCTTCAGGGAGCTCACACTCTAAACTAGGGAAGGGACAGAGAGAAGGAGATGGGAAGAGATGGGTGTCTCATGTGATCAATGTCGTGGCAGGTGTGTGTAAGGCACAGGGGGTGGCCTCTGTGGCCTCTGAGAAGGGAAAGCTGGTCTTGAAGGATGATTAGAAAGTTGCCAGGCAGCGGGAGGATGAGCTTGCAGGAAGTCGCTATAGGCAGAGATACTGGTGGGTGCAAACCCCAGGAGGCTTGAAACCACTTGGTTTAGAGAAATATGAATCATTCTAGGAGAATGGGAGCGGCTGGTGGTAACGCTAAGGAGGTGAGACCCCCCTCACCCAAGTCTAGAGTGCATCACGGGCCAGGCAGCTGCTTCAGCAAGACCATTCTGGCTTTTTTGGTGCAGAGTGGATCAGAAGTGGCAAGTATGGTGGTTAGGAAACCAGTTAAGAAGCTCTTGGGAGCCAGGTGAGGTGGTTCGAGCCTGTAATCTCAGCTGAGGTGGGAGGATCACTTGCACCCAGGAGTTCAAGTTTGCAGTGAGCTATGATTGTGCCACTACACTCCAGCCTGGGTGACAAAGCCAGACCCCAATGATGGAGGCTGGAGCTGGGGAAAGGAAAAATATACTTAGGAAGAGATCCAGCATGAATGAGTGGCTTACCGGGGGAGTGAAGAAGGAGCAGTGCTGAGGGAGCCCTGGGATTCTGACTTGGCTAGCTGGGTGGCTAGAGACTTAGCAGTCAGGACAGGAAACATGGGACCGAGCTGTTTGGAGGGCAAGGGTGAGAGTGGTGTTGGCTGTGTTGAGTTTGAAGGGCTGAGGGATGCTGAGGGGAACTGACCAGAAGCTTGGAGAGAAGTTTGGATGGAGATATGGACGGGTGACGTCAGCTCTAGGACAGCAGGCGTTGGCAGGGGTGTGGGTGAGGACAAGCAGGCTCAGGCTGAGCGGGGAGCCTGGGGCACCAGCAGGGAGGGAGGGTGGGGAAGGGTCTGAGGAGAGAGGCTGGGGAAGGGCTTTGGGAGGGCCGCAGAGACCAAGGGAGAGGGTGGGATGGCTGCTGGGGCTAACCCATGGCATGAGGCACTGACTTGAAGGGTAGGCAAGCAGACTTAGGTCTGGGGAGAAGGAAGAGGGAGACAGGGAGTACACAGAAGGAGCTGGGAGAGGAGAGTCCCCCTCCTCTGAATAAGGGACCCCAAGTGCTCTTTTTCTCCAGGACAGCAGGGCCGTGAAGGCCAAGGGAGAGAGCCAGAGAGGCACGGGGCGGGGTCAGCCCCAGGTGTGTCCGAAGAGGGCCTGCAGGACAAGATGGACACAGATCAAAAAAGCCTCGATGGGGGAGGTGAAGGGGCACCCTGCCTGGGGGCCTCTGTTTTCTCTGTGAGGTAGGAGGGCATGGGGGTTTGACAAAGATGAGGTCTGAGTGACTCTGGGGAGAAGAGGGGGCAGTCTCTGGGCCTGGAGAAGGGAGGCTGGCACCTGGATCATTCTGTCCTTCCCACATCACCTCACACCTCTGCCCCTTACCCTGCCCCAGGCATCCACTCTGAACACCTTCACCTTCCCCCATCTACCTGCAGGGAGACCTTCTCGACCCCACCTTTCCCTGCACCTTTCCCAGTTTACCTGGCCTCCTGGGACAGGCCTGGACCGGCTCTTCCGTAGGACAGGGTGCCCAAGGGTGGCAGGTGGGCCCTCATCTTCCACCTCCACATAGATGTTGCTGGGGGCTTCCCCGGGGCTGCCCCGGCCCATGGCGTAGAAGGCTATGGGTTCATCAGGCTCGTTGTAGATAGGATTGGAGGGCTTGGGGGGTGGGGCCGGGAGGCGTCGTGAAACAGGGCTCGTGTAAACTTCTGGGGGCAGCTGAGGTTTGGCAGGGATGGGAGGCTTGGGCCTGAGTGGCTGGGAGGGCTGGGAGAGAAGGTGAGGCCAGGGAGGAGTGGGGTGAGGGAGGCAGGGTTAAAGCCCCATCATAAGTCCCAGCCTGAGCCTCTGCCCCCGCTAGGCCCCTCCTCCTCCCCGCTGCCTGCACCCCCTCGCAGGCCTGTCCTCCAGCTCCCTCAGCCCCTCCAACCCAATACCTCCTTCTCCCGGGCCGCTTCTTTCCGCATTGGGACTGTGGCTTGCCCCTGCTTGATGATTGGGCTGTATTCGGGGTTTGGGTCCTGGCTTTTGCTTCCAGAGTTTGATTCTTCGGTCCTCAGGGGAAGTCCTGCAGGCTCAGGAGTCTGCTGGGAAAGAAGGAGGTCTGAGGGACTTGGTGGAGCATTGGGGAGGGGGAGGTGATCAGGAGGACAAAATAATCCAGTCTAAGTGGAGGATGGGAGAAGGGGGAGGGGCACAGAAATTTGGCCTGGGCTGGGTTCCCTGGATGAGGAAGAGGGGGTGGCGACGGTGAGGAGACCCAGGGTCGGATGGAGGCGGTGGTAAGCTCTGGTCACAGGCCATATCTAGCATTAAAGTTTTTCTTTTTTGAGATAGAGTCTCGCTCTGTTGCCCAGGCTGAAGTGTAGTGGTGCAGTCTCAGCTCGCTGAAGCCTTGATCTCCTGGGCTCAAGCTATCCTCTTGCCTCAGCCTCCCAAGTAGCTGGGACTACAGGCATGCACCACCACCCTGGCTAACTGTGTTTTCATTTTCTGTAGAGATGGGGTCTCAGTCTATTGCCCAGGCTTGGTCTTGAACTCCTGGGCTCAAATGATCCTCCCACCTCAGCCTTCCTGAGTTTTAGGATTACAGGTGTGAGCCACCACACTTGGCTGCATTAAACTTAATTTCATCTGGATCACAGGGCAAGGCCAGATTCCATTTGTGCCTGTGGTTGTGAAGATGCAACATGGCTTTACACATCTTTAGCTGAAAAATTATTGGCATGGGGACCAATCTCCATGACAGCTGTGCTTGTGTTTATTTCTGTACCGCTGGTTAATTTATGGAGATATAAGCTGAAGGTTTTTTGTTTGTTTGTTTTTGTTTTTAAGACCAAGTCTCATTCTGTCATCCAGGCTGGAGTGCAGTGGCACAATCTCGGCTCACTGCAACCTCCGCCTCCTGGGTTCCAGAGATTCTCCTGCCTCAGCCTCCCAAGTAGCTGGGATTACAGCCACCCACCACCACACCCAGCTAATGTTTGTATTTTTCAGTAGAGATGGGGTTTTGTCATGTTGGCCAGACTGGTCTCGAACTCCTGACCTCAGGTGATCCTCCACCTTGGCCTCCCAAAGTGCTGGGATTACAGATGTGAGCCACTGCACCTGGCCATAAGCTAAAATTTTTAAGGGCAGAGACCACCTCAGGAGAGAGGAGCCCCATGTGGGATGGTTCCATCTCACAGACGGTGGGTTTTTAGTTCAGTATTAGCCCTTGGTCCATGAATGCTGTCCCCATGCCTGCTGCCAGTGTAGGCTAAGGTCACAGGGCTTTTCTTGTGCTCCTGCAATCCACCAAGTGCACGTCTCCATCGGGAGGTGTACTGCAGGTGTACTAGGGAATCCAAAGAATTCCTTTTCCTGCCCTAACCCCCTCCTCTCTCAGCATCTCCTTCCTGAATAAAAAGTAGCACCTCCACCCTGCTGCCGAAACAGCACCTTAGGAGTCAGCCTTGATGCCTCCACCTCCTCCCTCTCGACATGAAATAAAACACAAGTCCTGCTCCTTCTGCTGTCTAAATATTGTTCACATCTGTGTACTTTTCTGCATGCACACGGCCAGCACCCTAGTTGAGGCCTCCTGACTCCTCCCCCTGCATCGTCTTGCCCTTCCAACCCACTCTCCAGTCTTCGAGCAGAGCAATCTTACAGAAACTCCCCTAGCAATCCTTGGGTGGTTACCCATTGCCCCAGGATAAGTCAGAATCCGAGAGCTTGAGTGACAAGACTCTGTGTGACCTCAGACTTCTACACTTCTGCCTTCAGCCTTCTCAGGTCAGGCTGGCTCCTCCTCACCCCCAGACTTCCCCATGCTCTATGAATCTCAGGTCTGCCTGTTCCTCACAAAAGAGGCAGTGACCACAGTCACTGTCCCCACTTGTTTTAACTGACCCAAATCAAGTTCTGTGAAACTCCTCATCTAGGTCACCAGTGACCTCCTCTCTGTCAAACCCAGTGTCAATTGCACCCTCTGCCCTCACCCGCCTTCACTCACTTTCTTCACTTGGCTTCCAGAGCATCACACTCTGGCTTTTCTCCTCTCTTTCTGAGTGCTCTGCTCAATTTTCTTTGTCAGTTCACCCTCATTTCTGCAACCTCTAAATGCTGGAGACTTGGGCTTCATTTCCTTCCTACCTACACTGACTTTTGAGTGAGATTTCACCCCTCCTAAAGGTTTTAGAGCCGGGCGCGGTGGCTCAAGCCTGTAATCCCAGCACTTTGGGAGGCCGAGGCGGGCGGATCACGAGGTCAGGAGATCGAGGCCATCCTGGCTAACACGGTGAAACCCCGTCTCTACTAAAAAATACAAAAAACTAGCCGGGTGAGGTGGCGGCGCCTGTAGTCCCAGCTACTCGGGAGGCTGAGGCAGGAGAATGGCGTAAACCCGGGAGGCGGAGCTTGCAGTGAGCTGAGATCCGGCCACCGCACTCCAGCCTGGGCGACAGAGCCAGACTCCGTCTCAAAAAAAAAAAAAAAAAAAAAGTTTTAGAGTCCCTCTGAGTGCTGGTGACTCTCAATATTTGTCTGCAGCCCATCCCTTTGTCCCAGTCCCGACTCTGAATTCCAGCTGCCTACTTGACATCTCCATGCTGAGCTGCATGTGTAGAAAAACAGAACTCTTGACCCTGCCCCCCTGCCCAGACATGTTCCTCCTAGAACTTTCCTCGTCTCAGTCAATGACAAGTCCATCTTTTCACACTCCTCATCCAATCCTGCAAAAACCCAGCAGCTCCACCTTCTAAGGAGACCCAGCCTCCGCCCTCCTCACGCCTCCTGGAGGCAGCCACCTCTGCTACCCTGACCCAGGCTGCCATCATTTCATGTGAAATATTGCCTCTCCCGAAACTTGCCAGGCCATGTCACCCCTCAGCTTGTAACTCTCCAGTGCCATCTCGTCTCGCTCAGAATAAAACTCCAAATGCATACAAGAGTCTACAGGGCCCCCCTCCCTCACCCCTCTGATCTCATCTCCTACTTCTCTATCCTTCAGTCACTGGATCCACCCATGCTAGCTTCCTCTCTGCTCCCATCATTCCTCAGACACAGCAAGTCTCCTCCTGCCTCAGGGCCTTTGCACCTGCTGTGCCCGCTGCCGAGAATGCTTTTCCTCCAGTTGTCTGCATGGCTCTTCTATTTCATACAGGCCTCTGTTCAGATGTCCACTTACCAGAGTGACCTTCCCTGACACCCTGTGTAGAACAGCCCCAACCCTGTCACTCTTCAACAATATTTCACATGAAATGATGGCAGCCTGGGCCAGGGTAGCAGAGGTGGGTGCCTCCAGGAGGCATGAGGGCTGGAGGCTGGGTCTGCCTAGAAGGTGGAGCTGCTGGTGGAGCTGTTTGGTTTTCTTGTCAGTGTGTACTTATCATTACTAGACAGACTCTGTCTTCTTTGCTTGTTTTCTGTATTACTCACTTGTCTGCCTCCTCCTTCTAGAGTGGAAGCTCTTGAAGGCAGAGATATTCCAGTCCTTTAAGTTCACTGCTATTTTTCCAGTGCCCAGAAGGTTGCGTGGCACCCAGTGGTCCCTCAGCACTGCCTGAACTTGTGCACCACTGCCTGCTAGGCTAAACGGTACCCTGTATTTCCTTCTGAATCACATTCTCCACACTGGATTTCTATTACTTGTCCATTTTTACTGCTGGAAAGTAGGCTTTGTGAGTTTGAGACCCATCTGTCTGTCTTGTTCATGGGTCTATTCTCAGGGCCTGCCAGCAGTTGGTAGGCCCTAAGTACTCTGTAAATATCTCTTATATTAAAAACAAATGACTTCTAGGCTGGGCGCAGTGGCTCATGCCTGTAATCCCAGCTACTCAGGGGTCCCATTCAGGAGACCCCTGCATCCTCCCCTGGCCTCATCCTGGAAGGGCAGTCTGCAGGGGCTGCTACTGCAGCAACAGGGATGGGAAAGTAGTTGGACTTCCAGATTTCAGAAGTCAAAACTGAAAATACCAGATGGAAAATACCAGCATTCGAAGCCTTAGGGACAGAAGGATAATGGGGCCTGGAGAGGGGAAGCTGACTCAGGAGGCTGAGGCGGGAGAATCACTTGAACCCGGGAGGTGGAGTTTGCAGGGAGAAAAGATCGCGCCACTGCACTCTAGCCTGCGAGACAGATCGACACTCTGTCTAAAACAAAACAAAACAAAACAAAAAACCCCAAATGACTCTGTGTGCCCCTGGTCTCTCCTTGCCCCTCTGTCTCCGTGTGGCTGGGCTTGTCTCTTAAGGAGGGACCCCCCAGCACTCATATTTCTCGAAGGGCCTGCCACCCTCTCACGAAGATGAAGATGCCTGGATAAGGCAGGCATGCCCGGGTGGTGTTTTGGGATGAGAAAGTGCCTGGTGCCGCGTCCTGCGCCTGGGCTCTGAGTCGGGGGGCGGGGAGGGGGCGCTGGCCTGAGACCCTGGGCTCTCTGGTCAGGGCCCGGGGCGCGTACCTGGCGGGCGAGCGGCTCGGTGAGCCTCTCCCCGTAGGGGCTGAGCGGGTGCGCCGTGTAGTGCCGCAGCAGGTCCTGCAGCCGTTCGTGGGCGCTGTCCTCGCCCAGCACCACGTGGCGCCCGTCCCCGAGCTGGGCCAGCAGGAAGTGGCGGCAGCAAGTCCGGCTCCTGGAGGGCGCCGTTAGGGATCAGACTATCTCCCACTCCTCGGCCAGGGCCACCAGCGCGAGGCGTGACCCCCACTTTCAGCAGCCCGGGAACTGAGCCAAAAGCTCGGCTCCTCCTGGGATCAGACCCAAGCCCCGCCCCTCCCGAGCCCCGCCTTCGGTCGCCCGGCGCGGGGCCTCGCCCCTCACCTGTAAGTCAGCACGAAGGTTACCGCGCTCTCGCTGAACCGCACCAAGTAGCATCCCTGAGGCTTGGGCTCCAGCAGCCTCTCTGCCTCCCTGTGGGTGACGGAGAGAGGGGGCCGAAACCTGCTCTGACACTTCCAGCCTCGCCTCTGTCTCCCCAGCTCTCACGAGGAACCCTTACCCCCAAGCAAGCATGCTGGAGCGGCTAGAGAAAGGCTAGGGTTGAGATGGGGGGAGAGAGCATGTGGGAGCTGTTCTCCCGCTGCAGGGACTAGGGGTGGACAGGGGCCAGGGGTCCCATTCAGGAGACCCCCGCTTCCTCCCCTGGCCTCATCCTGGAAGGGCAGCCTGTAGGGGCTGCTACTGCAGCAACAGAGATGGGAAAGTAGTTGGACTTCCAGATTTCCGAAGTCAAAACTGAACTGAGGAGGTGAACAAAGAGATAGGGAGAAATGAGGCTGAGAAATGGAGGGAGGATCTGCAAGGGTGGAAGAAAAGAGGCCTGGGAGATAAAGATGGAGTAAGCCTGGAGGGAGAGAGAGGTGGAAAATACCAGCATTTGAGGCCTTAGGGACAGGAGGATAATGGGGCCTAGAGAGAGGAAGCTGAGGCACAGAGAGGCCTGGACTGGAGCCTCTCCAATGATCTCCCCTGGAGAGATGCCTCAGTGAAAGGCCTAGAAAACTCTGGGAGTGGGAGCCTGGAGTGGGCACCTCCAGCTGCTCCAGACTGGTAGAAGTGGGAGCCTTCATCTATTCCTGGCAGGTGGCAGGACCCAGACCCAGGACTTGCCCTGCCCCTGTCTGGGCCAATTTCCTCCTCCATGACTCACCTCCGGGTGATGAAGCCATGGAACCAGGCAGGGGCTGCCCCATGCTGCAGGAGCCAGTGGGCCTGGGTCTTCTGGAACCAAGCCCGGGTCTCCGCCTGCAGGGACAGGCTTCCTTCTCCAGGCACCTCCTCTGCCCTCTCAGCATTCCCTGGGATGGAGGCAGCCTCCAGGGCCTGGGGAGATGCCTGGATCAGGGAAGAGTTCAAGGAGGGGGAAGCAGCATGATGGGTGGGCCTTCTCCTGACTTTGATCCACCTGCCACCTTCTTTTCCTCATACCCAGCCTCTCCTGTCTATTTTAGGGTACAATTGCCCAGAAAGTCCTTCCTAAAGTCTAACTTAAATCCCTTCTTCAGCTCCAGCTGTTCTGGCTTCCAGAGACTCTCCTTCCTCTGCCCTCTGGGTCCTGAGGGCTTTTAATCCAGCAGCAGTGAGCTGTCACACTGTGCTCCAGGAGGGACGGGAAAGGCAGCACAGCCTTCCAGATGGATAGAGTCATTCCCTGGCCTGGAGGATGAAGGAACATGATGCCGGAAGTCACGCTAAAGGCCAGAATGAGGGAGGGCTTACTGCACAATATGAGGGACTGAGCTAGTTCACAGAGAAAATTCTTGAGTGGGCGGGAGGGAAGGGCTGAGACGTGGAATGCACCGGGTGAATGAAGGTCACTGACACAGAGGGCAGATGCCTGCTTCTGGGACTCAATGCGCTGCATCCTGGTCACCTGCGGACTCTGCCTGAGCTTCCGGAGGGCCTAGGAGCAGCACGGGAGTGAGTGGGCAACTCAGTGCATGAAGGAGGTACTCCCCATTTTCGTTCTCTCCCTCTGTGCCCCAGCCCGTTGGCAGACCCGGATCATTCCTGCCTTCTCTCGGGGTGGCCTTTGTCCATCTGCAAATCCTTCCCCATGGGAGGGTGGGAGAGATGAGGGAGCTGCACCCCGCTGCCGCCCCAGGTTTCTACCCACCGCAGTGTAGCCCAGGTTCCGGCAGCTCCTGTGGGTCATGTCCGTGATCTGGAAGGTGCTGAAGGTTGGGATGGGGGCTTTGTGACTCCCTGTGAGCACAAAGAGGGCTGTCGGGGTTTCTCAGAGTGGGACTGTGTCTATCTCTGCCTCCCACCCCTCCTCCCAGGTTCAGGGATCTGTAGGGCTGGGACAGTCTTAATGACAGGAAAAACACAGAAGGGCAGCAGGGGAGTTTCTCAGGCATGAGGATAAGTAGCCAAGGGGGCGTGAGGGGGGCTAATGCTGCCAGAGGAGGTTGTCAGGGACACCAGGTGCCTAGAAGGAGAAGATGGGAGCCAGGCTGGCCTTCAGATGGCCAGGGAGGCAGATCACTTCAGGGCAGGCCCTTCTTCTGGTCCAGGATCTTCTGCCTCCTCCTCCCTTCATCCTCCTGCTCCCTCCTCTCTCCTCTCTGAGAAGCGCTCAAAAAACCCTGTCACCTTTATCCTCAGGGATGAGTGGGCACGGAGCCCCAGGCGGGGTTGTGGTCGCCCTGCCTCTCAGCCTTGCCAGCTCTGGCTTAGAGTGGGGCCCCTCATCCCTGAAGTGGGAGCTCAAGCCCAGGAGGGAGGGCAGGGGGATGGGGGTCTTGGTGCCCCCTCCCACCCATATCCTTCAACTTCACACTTACCTTGGGGACATATCTGGGCCAGGGGGAACTCCATGGGGGCAGCCTGACAAGGGATCCCAGAGCAGGGTGTGTGTATGTGCTCTGGAAAGGTGTGCACACTCAGCAACTCTTCATCTCTCCTTTCACCCTGGCCCCAGGGGCAGGAAATGTCGCCTTACCCACAGCCTTAGTTCTGGCAGAGGACCCACGTCATGGAAAGCCTTAAGACGATTGTCCCACCCCCGGAAGCCACGCAGCTGTAGATAGCGGTGGTATAGCGGTGGGGGGTATCTGTGTCACTCTGTGTTTAGGTGTTAGGAAGTCCTTACTGCTACCTGACCTTCATCCCTCCAGATTCTTTCTCTGCTCCCTCACCCCAAACTAGAACTTCCCTTTCTCTCTCTCTCATCTCTCTTGACTTCTATTTCTTTCTCTCTGGAAAATCTCCCACTCTGCCTCTTGGCCTGTTCTGAGCAGTGGGAATGGGGATGTCAGCCTCAAGGATAAGCCACACAAGGTGCTTATGGGTCATGCTTTGAGGAGACATGAGGAAGGGAGGGGGCAGGGCTGCAACAGGAAGGATGTGGGTTAGACTTCTGGAAGGACTTTTTGAGGACATATGAAATCTATGAGTCGCCGGGCGCGGTGGCTCACGCCTGTAATCCTAGCACTTTGGGAGGCCGAGGCGGGCGGATCACAAGGTCAGGAGATCGAGACCACGGTGAAACCCCGTCTCTACTAAAAAAATACAAAAAAATTAGCCGGGCGTGGTAGTGGGCGCCTGTAGTCCCAGCTACTCAGGAGGCTGAGGCAGGAGAATGGCGTGAACCCGGGAGGCGGAGCTTGCAGTGAGCCGAGATCGCGCCACTGTACTCCAGCCCGGGGGACACAGCGAGACTCCGTCTCAAAAAAAAAAAAAAAAGAAATCTATGAGTCTGGGCATGGTATCTCACGCCTGTAATCCCAGTACTTTGGGGGGCTCAGGCGAGAGGATCGCTTAAGCCCAGGAGTTCATGATCAGCCCTGGGCAACACAGTGAGACCCCACCTCTATTTTTAAAAATTAATAATAAAAAAAGAAATTTATGAGACAAGGGGTTAGAGAGGAGGGGACTGGATTCCATCATTCAGCAGATAATGGAACTGAGTTAGGGAAAAACCAGGCAATCCTGGAGGAAGGAAGGAGAATTCCTCCAGCTAAGCTGGTCATCATTAGTATCAACACTATCAGCAGTTGCTGTTAATAACATCACTGTTGATGTCTTTTTTTTTTTTTTTTTTTTTTTTTTAGACAGAGTCTAGCAGGACTACAGTGACACAACCTCAGCTCACTGCAACTTCCACCTCCCAGGTTCAAGGGATTCTTGTGCCTCAGCCTCCCGAGTGGCTAGGATTACAGGCTTGCACCACCAAGGTTGTACCACCAATCACCAGGCTGATTTTTGTATTTTTAGTAGAGACAGTGTTTCACCATGTTGGCCAGGCTGGTCTTGAACTCCTGACCTCAAGTGATCCACCCACCTTGACCTCCACAGGCGTGAGCCACTGCATTGGCCGGTGCTGATGTCTTAAACTTTCAATGTGCTTAGACTTCCCACCATACCAAAGGACCAACCCCATTTCTCTCTGAATTGATCTTCACAAACTAAGAAGGGGACAGGAACATTATCCCCATTTACCAGAAGCTCAGAGGAGTGTCTTGGCCAGGGCCTTTCAGTGGCTAAGAAGTTGGTATGAATGCTGGGACTAGAAGCTAGACTTCCTTTCACTAATTTCACTGTGATTTAGGCCAAAGGTTCATGACTATGTGCTGTGCACTGTTCTTGGTACTGAGAACTCAGAGAGGAAAAAAAAATTTGTCTCAAGATGTCAGGTGGGGGAGATGTACTTGCCAAGACTTACCGTTTTTCAAAAAATTATGTACTGTTTTCTTACTTTTAAAAACGTGTTCTAAATTTTTAATAGTTTTTGGGGTTCAGTTGGGTTTTGGTTACACGGGTAAGTTATCTGGTGGTGATTTCTGAGATTTTAATGCACCTGTCACCCAAGCAGTGTACACTGTCCCCAATATGTAGTCTTTTATTCTTCACCCAACCTTCCCCCCAAGTCCCCAAATTCCCTTATATCACTCTCATGCCTTCGTGTCCTCATAGCTTAGCTCCCACTTATAAGTGAGAACATACGATATTTGGTTTTCCATTCCTGAGTTACTCCACTTAGAATAATGGCCTCCAGCTCCAACCAAGTTGCTGCAAAAGACATTATTTCGTTCCTTTTTATGGCTGAGTAGTACTCCATGATGCAGATACACCACATTTTCTTTATCCACTCTTTGGTTGATGGGCACTTAGGTTGGTTTCATATCTTTGCAATTGCAAATTGTGCTGCTATAAACATGTGTGTGCATGTGTCTTTTTTATAGAAGGACTTCTTTTCCTTTGAATAGACACCCAGTAGTGGGATTGCTGGAAATAATGGTATTTCTACTTTTGTTTTTAAAGGAATATCCATACTGTTTTTCATAGTGGTTGTACTAATTTGCATTCCCACCAGCAATGTAAAACTGTTCCCTTTTCACCACATCCATGCCAACATCTATTTGTGTGTGTGTGTCTGTGTGTCTGTGTCTAAGATGAAGTCTCACTCTGTCACCCAGGCTGAAGTGCAGTGGTGCGATCTCAGCTCACTGCAACCTCTGCCTCCCAGGTTCAAGTGATTCTCCTGCCTCAGCCTCCTGAGTAGCTGGGACTACAGGTGAATGCCACCATGCCTGGCTAATTTTTGTATTTTTAGTAGAAAAAATGGGGTTGGTCGAACTTCTGATCTCAGGTGATACCCCTGCCTCAGCCTCCCAAAGCGCTGGGATCACAGGCATAAGCCACCGCACCTCGCCACATCTATTGTTTTTTTGACATTTTAATTATGGCCATTCTTGCAGAAATAAGGTGGTGTCTCATTGTGGTTTTAATTTGCATTTCCTTGATGATTAGTGATGTTGAGCATTTTTTCATGTTTGTTGGCTGTTTGTATACTTTCTTTTGAGAAATGTCTATTCATGTCCTTTGCTCACTTTTTGATGGGATTATTATTTTTTATTTTTATTTTTATTTAGATGGAGTTTCACTCTTGTTGCCCATGCTGGAGTGCAATGGCATGATCTTGGCTCACTGCAGCCTCCGCTTCCCAGGTTCAAGCGATTCTCCTGCCTCAGCCTCCTGAGTAGCTGGGATTACAGGCATACGCCACCACGCCTGGCTAATTTTGTATTTTTAGTAGAGATGGGGTTTCTCCATGTTGGTCAGGCTGTTCTCGAACTCCTGACCTCAGGTGATCTACCCACCTCAACCTCCCAAAGTTCTGGGATTACACGTATGAGCCACCGCGCCTGGCCTATTTGTTTTTTTTCTTGCTGATTTGAGTTCCTTGAGATTCTGGGCACTAGTCTTTGTTGGATGCAGTTTGAGAATGTTTTCTCCCACTCTGTGGGTTGTCTGTTTACTCTGCTGATTACTTTTTTTGCTATTCAGAAGCTTTTTAGTTTAATTAGTTCCCCATCTATTTATTTTTGTTTTTGTTGAATTTGCTTTTGGGGTCTTAGTCACGAATTATTTGCCTAAGTCAATGTTCAGAAGAGTTTTTTGGATGTTATCTTCTAGAATTTTTATGGTTTCAGGCCTTAGATTTAAGTCTTTAATCCATCTTGAGTTGATTTTATTATAAGGTGAGAAATGGGGAACCAGTTTCATTCTTCTACATGTGGCTTGCCAGTTTACTCAGAACCGTTTATTGAATAGGGTGTCCTTCCCCAATCTATTTATTTGTTTATTTTTTGAAACAGGGTCTCACTCTGTCACCCAGGCTGGAAAGCAGTGGCACGATCTCGGCTCACTGCAGCCTCAACCTCCTGGGCTCAAGCGATCCTCCCACCTTAGTCTCCCAAGTAGTTGGGACTACAGGTATGCACCACCACACACGGCTAATTTTTGTACTTTTTGTAGAGATGGGGTTTTGCCATGTTGCCCAGGCTGGTCTCGAACTCCTGGGCTCAAGCCATCTGACTGCCTTGGCCTCCCAAAGTGCTGAGATTACAGGCATGAGCCACCACGTCCAGCGCCCCCAATTTATGTTTTTGTACACTTTGTCAAAGATCAATTGGTGGTATGTATTTGGCTTTATTTCTGGGTTCTCTATTCTCTTACATTGGTCTACATGCCTATTTTTATACCAGTACCATGCAGTTTTGATAACTATAGCCTTGTAGTATAATTCAAAGCTGGATAATGTGACGTCTCCAGATTTGTTCTTTTTGCTTAGTATTGCTTTGGCTATATGGGCTTTTTTTTGGTTCCATGTGAATTTTAGGATTGTTTTTTCTAGTGCTGTGAAGAATGATGAAGGTATTTGATGGAAATTGCATTGAATCTGTAGATTGCTTTGGGCAGTATGGTCATTTTCACAATATTGATTCTTACCATCCGTGAGCATGGGATGTGTTTCCATTTGTTTGTGTCATCTCTGATTTCTTTCAGCAGTGTTTTCCTTGTAGAGTTCCTTGTAGAGTTTTCCTTGTAGAGTTCCTTGTAGTTTTCCTTACAGAGATTTTTAACCTCCTTGGTTAAGTACATTCCTAAGTTTTTTGTTTGTTTGTTTGTTTTTGCAGCTGTTGTAAAAGGGATTGAGTTCTTGATTTGATTCTTAGGTTGGTCGTTGTTGGTGTACAGCAGTGTTACTGATTTATGTACATTGATTTTGTATCCTGAGACTTTACTGAATGTATCAGATCTAGGATCTTTATGGTTGAGTCTTTAGGGTTTTCTAGGTGTACCATCATATTATTGGCAAACAGCAATAGTTTGACCTCCAGTTTGATTTCCAATTTGGATGCCCTTTATTTCTTTCCCTTGTCTGATTGCTTTGGCAGGATTTTCCTAGCAGATACTTATTAAAGCTTGTAGTGGGTTAGTGGTGTAGGCTGCTGCTACGGGAACCCCCCCCACCAGAAGCCCCTAATTTAGCCTGGGGTGTGTGTGTGTGTGTGTGTGTGTGTGTGTATATATATGTGTGCACGTAGGGGGTTGAGATGTCAGAAGACTTGAGATTTAGCTGAGTTGTGGAGGATGAGTAGGGTCGAAGAAGGTGGGGAAAGTTGTTTCTAGAAGAGGGAGACAAAGCTCAGAGTG